TGCAAATATTTCGACTTGTATTCAAGGTAAATGGATATTTTTTTCATCCCCCCCCAAAAAAAAGACAAGTGAACAAGCTTTAAGATGATACCAATAACTCTACATGCCCAAAAATTGACGAGAGCCTGATTCCACCACGCTGCCTCACAAATAATATCTCCACTTCGTTCGATAAAGTGACAAGTGTACATGTCAGATTTGCGTCCCACCTGTGGCTGTCTTCGAAACTATATTCTCTTACCTGTTTGCCCTCAGGTCGTCCGAAATAACCCCATTGTCCACTGTGGAAGAAACGTGACCGAGACTGTCAAGGGATTACCCAGGATTCTTGTGGAATAACTTATAACGTCCCAGCTGCACGTGCGAGGAAGATGAGTTTGTGGTGAGTACTGCTATTTGTGGCCTTGGGAGAGGCAGTTGTGGGATATTGCGGGGGTGAGTGGCAGCTGAACGTAACCCAGCGAGTGACCAGTGGGCAGCAGCTGTTCCAGTTCTGTCTGTCGATCTTCCGAACACTTCCGGTAGGCACTTCTGGTTCTATTTTCGCGGTGGTTATTTCGTTGGAAAAGTAGTGTGGATAAGATCAGATGGGTGGTTGGGAAATGATGTGTTGCTTTTTTGGAGGTTATTTCAAGAACATCTGGGAAATTGGAAAAGAAGGAGGGGATGGTGGGAGATGGAGTTGGGATTGGAGGGGGGAGGGGTTTGGGGGGGGGTTTTTTTTTTAGGAGGGATTATCTACACATGATGATGATGATGATGATGATGATGATGATGATGATGATGATGATGATGATGATGATGATGATGATGATGATGATGATGATGATGGTGATTGTCCATTATACAATAATAAATGATGATGATGACGACGACAAAAGAATGGCGATGATGAGGGCTATGAAGGCTAAAACAATTAATGAATTATTGCTCTCCGTCTTAAGACGAGTGATTAACAACGTATCCCCTTGTGAAAACGAAATTTCTTCGTGGTGGCTTTCGGCGTCTTGACGTTTCCCCCACAACCCCCGAGATTTACTAGACAGGACACCTGTTCATGCCCACCTGAGAGATGGCAAAAAGGCGCGGGAACCTCCTGTGAGTTGTCTGTGTATCAAGGCTGGTGTTTACAGGACGCTGTCAGGCTGCCTGTCTCCTCAGTGTTTGCTTATCTGTTGTGGATGATGTGTGGAGGAAGATACAGAGTTGTGGTGGAAGATACAGAGTTGTGGTGGAAGATACAGAGTTGTGGTGGAAGATACAGAGTTGTGGTGGAAGAT